TGCACCCTCCCGTTCTGCAACGGGAGCCTGAGGGGCAGGGACAGCAGCCGGGACAGCACCCTCGTCTCTCCGCTCCCATGAGTCCCTCAAATCGCAGGCTGCCGCTCCCCACTTCCCAGCAGTGGTCACGGCTGGGGGCGTGGGAAGGGCGGGCCCCGCAGAGAAGCGGCCTTTTTTTTAAAAAAGGCGAGGTAATTAGCATCCTCCGATCCCATTGGATCTCCGCCGTCCCCGCTTTGCATATGCCCATCCCTCCGGTTCCCCGGGTTTGCTGGGGTTCGGCAGGATTTGCAGCCGCCGCGGCCGCTGCTGCGCTTCAGTGCAGGGTGGGCAGGCGCCGACCGAGCAGCCGGCTGCCCGCGGAGCTGCTGCTGCGGCGGCGGCTGGGGCTGTCTCCGTCCTGCGGACGAGGAGACGGCGCCCGGAGGCTTCTGCGCCTAGCTGGGCCCAGGGAGGAGCGGGCTCGACACTTTTTATTTTGGAAAATAGGGGCGAGTGCCAGCAGGAGCTTCCTTTCCGACCTGGCTCGTTCTTCAGTGCGTCCCGCTCCGGCCCGGACTCTGGAAGACGACTCCGGGGTCTGCCCTGTGTATTCCAGCGGCGAAGGCTCAGGGAGGCAGCCGAAAGTAGTAACACTTGGTAGTAGCAGCTGTTGGAAAAGTGAGCCTAGGCGGCACAGACTCGGCTGTCCCCGCGACCCCCGGCGCCCGCTGTCCCTCGCCGCTCCTTTCCCTCGGCTCACCGGCGGCCGCAGCATCAAGTGGCGCAGAGATGGTCAGGAGAGGTAAGAAGCCGGTGGCACGAAAGCTGGAGGATCTGACGCTGGACTTGGGTTATGGTGGCGCGGCGGACTCGGTGCGCTCCTCCAAATTGTCTCTGTGCTGTTCCGACTCGCACCCAGCGTCCCCGTATGGGGGGAGCTGCTGGCCGCCTCTAGCTGACTCCATGCACAGCCGGCACAACAGCTTTGACACCGTCAGCACTGCCCTGGTGGAAGTCTCGGAGGGGCTGGACTGCGCCGGCCAGCACTGCTCGCGGCTGCTGCCGGACCTCGACGAGGACCCCTGGACCCTCCAGGAGCTGGAGCTGCTGCTGTTGCGCTCGCGGGATCCCCGGGCAGGCCCAAGGACGCGCTGGCCAAGCTCTCGACGCTGGTGAGCCGGGCGCTGGTGCGCATCGCCAAAGAGGCGCAGCGCCTGAGCCTGTGCTTCGCCACGTGCACCAAGTACGACATCCAGAGCGCCACGGAGATCGTGCTGTCCTGGGGCCTGGCGGCACACTGCAAGGCGGCGGCGCTGGCCGCGCTGGCCCTCTATATCATGAGCAGCGCCGGCGGCGACCCTGTGGGCCGCGGCAAGTCCGCGCGATGCGGCCTCATCTTTTCCGTGGGCCGAGTGTGCCGCTGGATGGTGGACAGCCGCGTGGCGCTGCGCATCCACGAGCACGCCGCCATCTACCTGACGGCCTGCACGGAGAGCCTCTTCCGGGACATCTACGCGCGGGTCGTGGCCTCCCGGCTGCCCTGGAGCTGCAGCGGCCCCGGCTCGGGCTCCAGCTCCAGCTTCGGCTCTTGCCCCAGCGCGGGCCCAGCGGCGGATAAGGAGCGGGATACGCGCGGAGTGGGAGCAGCGAGTGGCCGCCGCCGCCGCCAACCACCACCATCACCACCACCACGCGCTCCACGAAGCGCCCAAGTTCACCGTGGAGACCCTGGAGCACACGGTCAACAACGACTCCGAGATCTGGGGGCTCCTGCAGCCCTACCAGCGCCTCATCTGCGGGAAAAACGCCAGCGGTAAGTGGCCGCGCGGGGGCCACTCCCTCCCACCCAACCCGGCCAACTCTCGGCGCAAGTTTGCGTCGAACCCCCCTCCCGCGTCTTCCCGGCCACCCGCTGCTGTCCCAGGGCTCTGAGGGGGCGGCCGGCCTGGAGGAGGCCAGAGACCCGCCAGTTCCCTTCTGCACTCGGGATCCGCGTACTTTACGCGGCTGGTCAGGTTCTAGGTCCCGGAGAGCGTGGTTCCGCCCCCGGTGAGGGGCGGGGCGGCGGCTGCTTCCAGCAGGCGGTGAACGAAACCTGGCACCATTTTTTGGAGTAGATTTGAGATCATTTGCGCCTAAAACATATCTTCTACCAAAGTCCCGTTTGTTTTGACCTTGAAGATGCCACATGCCTAGGCGCACCAGTTTGGCTCCCTAGGACTCGGGAGGAGGCGCGTTCCTCTCTCCGCCGCCCAGTTCTCGTGCTTCCCCCGCGCCCTCAGGGGACACTGTCGGTGCGCTTGGGAAGGTGGGGCTCGGCTCGGCGGTCGTTAAGGCGGAGTGGTTCAGAGCTCGCGCGGCCTAGGAACAGTCGGAGAGAGGTGTGTGTTGTGACAGGGTGAAATGGGAAGTCTTGTCGGCCCCAAGTTTTTCTGGGGCAGTCGTCGAGGGCCAGAGCACACCGCTGGTGGGGGCTGTGCAATGGTCAGTACTCCTAAGTCCGACCTCCCAGCTCTCGCCGCTCTCCCTTCTCTCTGGCAGAGGGCTGCATCTGTCACCACTTGGCCGAAGGAGCGCCACTAGGGACCCGGTCAGGACGGAGGGGGGGGCGGGCGTTCTGTCATCCCCTTGCCACACGTCCTTGTTTTAGAGGCCCGAGCTGGGTGGGTTCGAACCCGCAGCTCTGGGGGCGGAGCGGGTGGGGCGGGGGACGCTTGTTTTCCAGAGCTCGCGCTGGCGGTCCTGCCTGTGTGCGAAAGCCCGAGCTAGACGCTTCAAAGCTTCAATTTTCCACAGGAAATGGTAGACGCGTAACCGGAGACTCGGAAAACGAAATAAAACTTTGTTCCATATTCGGCGGTTTGGCCAGAGGTCGCGTGGTTGGCGCTGAAATGCAGTCTTTCTGGGCAGATTTCATTCATGTTGCTGCCTGTCTGCTTCCCGGGGGCTGGAGGAGAGAGGCGGCGGGCGCGGCCCGGCCTCCGGGTGCCGAGTGTGTGCCCGTGAGTGTGAGCGTGCATGCGTGAGCGTGTGTGCGCGCGCGCCTGCGAGTGTATCAGTGTGCCCGCGAGTGTGCGCAGGGACGAGCGGGCGCCCTTCCGAAACCCACCCTGCAGCTCTCGCTCCCTTCAGCTGCATTTGATCATCGGTGGAGGAGGGGAAGGAAGGAGCAGAGCTGCTGTGTGTGGACGGCGGGGGCGGGGGGTGGGGTCGGGGTCCTCGTCGATTCCCAAGGCTCTGAGGACATCTTTTTGCCAGAGCCCGTCTCCCTCTGCTGCCAGCCGAGGGCCCAAAGAGCAGATATCTGCGAACCCACACACAGACACACATGCACACGCACGTGAAATCCGGACAGACATGGAAACATCTGGGAAGGAGGCATCGGGGTTTGTAGTCGTGTGTGCTGCTTTAGACTACGGGGATTCACCTGCAAAATCCGGACGCTTCGGACTGGATAGTTCTTTGTTTGGAAACCTACCTGCACCAAACAGCACAGGGGAGCTTAATTTTGCTCCCACCGAGCGCTCTCAGCGCCCCTCATTATAATCATCCTTCCCTCCTTTGCCGCCCCTCCCCCAACCCCTTACCTCATTTCTGGGGCTGGAACCTCCACTTTTCTCTCCCTCGATATTTCCTTTGGGAGAAAGAGCATTCCCCTCAGGAGACTCCTGTCTGTAACTCCAGGCACCCTTGCTCCACCTGTCTTTGCCATTCTCTTGAAGTTGTGACTTTGCACAAGTCACTTTCCTTCTCTGGGCCCCAGTCTCCTGGCTCATCTCTACAGTAAGGGGCTAGATTGCAAGTCACTTTCCTTCTCTGGGCCCCAGTCTCCTGGCTCATCTCTACAGTAAGGGGCTAGATATGTAACACATCCCCCAGTCTGTACTCTTGTAGCCCTGTCTGTGTTAGTGGCCTCTGTATTTTTTTCAAGTTGGTTTCACTTTTACGATCTTTAACATCTTTTAAAGACAGTTTTTTTGTTTATCCGTTTTGGAGTAAGTATAATTTAAGGAAGGAGAGGACCACAGAGTTGGTTTTGGGCAGGGTGAGTGTGTGGTGGTTGGAGTTTGCTGCCATCACAGCGTTTCCCACACCACAGAACTTAACTCCTGGGTTTCAGGGCCCCAACGGCCTTCTCTGGGTATGAGAGATACTGTAATTTCATTGTGATATCTTCATCTCTTTTTCTTTGGGTTTATTTAAAATGGCAGGTCATTTATGCAGAAGAATTATGGAAGGAGCGATTAATTCCTTAGGTATCTGAAACATACATTAAAACATCAAACCTGTTTCTTAAACTATTTCGCATGCAGGCTTTCTGATCTGCAAGCCTTACGAAGAACAGCATACCTTACGTAATAGACTTTCCCCCTTTAACTCAGTAGCATCGCTTATTTATTCATTTGTGAATTCATTTGCTCATCAATATTTTTTAAGCATTTTCTAACTGCTAGGGTCTGAACAAGCACTGGGTGAGAGGTAATAACAGCTCATAGTATCCAGCACTACTACATGTATCGACCCATTTGATTCTCAGTGTTCCCTTGAAAAGTACGCCTGTTATCCCCATTATAGAGAGGAAGAAACTGAGGCACGAAGAACTTCAGTATCTTGCTTATTTGAATGCAGACAGCCTGGTTCCATGGTCCATGGCCTTAACCACTGTCTGTTTGACTGTAGCGGCAAACGACTTCCCTCCCTTCAGGCC